GTCGTTTTATGCTGACGGGCTTGAAACGTCAGAAAATTCGGCGACCCAGCGCCAAACACGGTCTCTATTCTCCAACGCGGCAAGTCAGAGCAGGAGAGAGGGAGAATTGGGTTGCACTCAGGGGGACAATTCGGCCCGAGCCAAGGATTCTGTCGCATTCCCTACTATACAAAGAAGCTCTTCCTTGGGTTGGATTGAGTCGGTTGTACCCTTAAATCAAGATACGATTCGAGCAAAATATGCCCCGAAGGAGCTCGAATACGTCGAAAAACCGAGCGAATGAGTTAGGATGATTGGGAATAAATTGATCCAAATGGCTGCTACAAAATCATCACAGGTAGTCCTAGGAAGCTCTCGGATCGCCCTAATTAGCTCAAAGATCGCTGAGGAAGAAATGCCCAAATCGAATTTGGACTTTCTGGATTATGAAAATTTGAACGTAACAGTTGGCGGGAAGGAGGAAAACGATGATTCGACAACGAAAACGCAACGTCGAGGCATGGGACGGGTTTAGGAGTTCGAATGGAAGTCTAACGAAGATCTTGGAGGAGGTGAATTAGAGTGGCGATGTTCACAGCAAAAAACCCCAATTTCAAGGATGATGAACTCTGCCCTAATTCTTCCAAAAACCCAATTGGAGCAAGGATCTTTCGCTCCAATTGGACCACATGAAAATACATGTTATTTGCTACAATGATGTGGAATTGGTTGATAAAAAACCTCTGTTGAAGTATTCCAACGAAAGCTTGCAAGATCGTATGGAGACTAGCCGAACTGTTTTGCAACCCAGCAATCCGAGTCCTTTGCGGATTAGGATTTCTTTTAAACCTTGTTTGGTTTGAGTTTTTTTTTTCCTGAGTTTGTTTATGCTTTGGACTTCGTAGTAGTTTGTGTAGTTTTCTAGCTCTATTTAAAGCCTTTAAGTGTGTTGTAAACGTCAGAGTTGATTAATTGGATTGAGAATTAAGCCCTAAACTGAGTTCTTCGCAGCTAGTTTAGTTGAGAGCTTGGCCGACAAAACCAAGCTCGATTGTGCTCTTGTATCGATCAAAAACCACCTTGATCATGGGCGAGCATCGACATATAATTGATGAGCCTTCCTCCAGGTGTAGGATTGCATGCAATTTCCACCTTTCTGACCATCCCAATCTGTTTGGAGCGATCAATTGCGAGATTCGGTTAAACTTTGGGCGTAGGAGTTCATTTTCAGCAATTTCGGTTGCATCAGGTCGGGTCGATGAGAGGTACCCATGCCTGCCCCGCCATAAAACAAGGCAAACAGGTCGGGTTAATCGGGTCAGGTCGAAATTGCGATCCCTACTTGATGGTGGCGAGGATCGTTTGCGCTCATTATGAACATCTCAAGGTATTCACGCTCAAGTTGACACTCATACTCCCATTGCCTATCATTGGTTTCTTTTTGCCTCTCATAAGCTTCTCTTTCCATCTCATAAGCTTCTCTATCAAGAGAATCCATGCAGGCGAAATAGTTTTGGGTGGCTAGAGAGAAGAATTGAGGATCAATGTGTGTTTTCAAGAAAGAAGGTTGAATGGTTGATGAGTTCAAAACCAAGTTAGATGGTTCATTTATAGAAACCCGAAATGATTCCTTCTGTAAAAAAATTTAAAGTTGAATGAACAGTTGGTGACACAATTCATTATGATCAAAGTTGAATGAGTAGTTGATGGCACAACTCAATCTGACAAGAGCATGTGATGAATCTATGGCTATATGAACCAATAATGGTGTTTTCGTCATTGATTATGTCATATTTATATATAATTTTTTATCTCCAAATTCAAAAAATTTTAATCGAAACATTCGTATTCATAATTTTGATAGAAATTTTATAACCATAACTTTTATTTTCAAACTATGAAAAAATGGGGGGGGGGGGGCAAGTAGGGATGACAGTAGAACCCGAATTCCCAGGTATCCTACCCGACCCAACCCCGTCAACGCGAGTAAAACCTGCTTTGACTGATTGCGGACTGGGTTAGGGTTTAAACCCGCTATACTTTGTGCGGGTTGGGTTTGGGTTTAGTCATATCTAACCCGTGGATACTCGCACCCAAATCCATACCCCCACGACCCACGGAACCCTTAACTAATCAACTATATTTTTTAAACTAATTCATAACACTTTCAATTAATAATATTATTTGTGAATATTTATCTTTAATGTTGAACAATTAGTATGAATGATTTGTGAGTTAGTGTGTATGTAGTAGACAATAGTAGTGAAAACGAGTGTAATTGCATCTTTGTACATGAACCCATGGGTATCCATGAACCTGCGGATACCCAGAAGGTTGGGTTTGAGTTTTACAAATCCATTGGGTTTTACCGCAGGATTGTTTGGTGGACCCATGCATTTGGGTTTGGCATAACCCGGCCCAACCCGACCCATTGCCATCCCTAAGGGGAAGGAGAAGTCACATGTGCAATTAAATGGAGAAGAAAAAAATCCACCCCACAACCCACATAATTCTCTCCACAATCCACAAAATCCACCCCGAAAATCCAGGCCACAGGTTTCTTAAAGTCGCCGAGAAGTTTCTTTAAAAGTGGACATGTTTGTAAAATTTTAAAAGTTTAGGTATCAAAATGTAAGAGAACAAAATTATAGGCAATGCAGTCAAAAGCGCGATTCTACGTAGAAGCGGAACAGGGGTAAAATCGTAAAGCGTAGAATCAAAGCGTAAAAGCGTAAGTTTTTGATGCATACTAAAAAATAACTAAAATTCTATTAAGTAGGACATACACTATGCAAAATATGAATGTACAGAATTTAGATAAGTTAATTAATACAAGCGATTCATGCCTAAAGTAGAGCAACTTATAGCATCTTAATAAAAAGTTCATAAACATAAATTTTAACAATAAGCCACTTTTCCCAATATGCTAATGAATTTGGGAAAAGCCTAACTAATGAAAATTAGATTACTCTATTGAAGTTGAGAATGCATCCAAGTACCTGATATGTATCTTTTAATCTCAAATGTATCATATTGTTGGTGATTTACTTTTAAAATGTACTTTTTTAATTGATTTCATGAAAAGAATACTCGTTTAGTGAACTAAAAGCGTAGAAACGTAAAGCGTTTTGGTGAACTAGAAGCGTAAAACCGTAAGTTTTTAAGCTTTAAAGCGCAATTTAGTCCGATTTTATACACTTAAGTTTTTATATGGAAACGAAAGCGTTTTGGTGACCTAAAAGCGTAAAATCGTAAGATTTAAAGTTTTAAAGCGCGATTTTGACTGCATTGATTATAGGTACTAAAATATAATTTTTCATCAATATTTTTAGGACTTATTTGTAAAAAAATTAATTTTAGGTACTAAATATTTCGATATATTAAGTTTAGGTACATAACCTATTGTATACCTATTACAACAATGTAGAGAAAAGAGGAGGGGAAGGAGAAGGGGTAATATCATGGTGTTAACCCTTAAGGGGTAACAAATTTGTGAAGAATTTTTTATCAATACTAATAAACTTGCCTAATGACTAGTTAGAGAATTACTTTTGCGTGTCAACTCACAATCAACCACATCCATCCATCACCCATCCAACCTAATTCAAAATATAATATGGGTTGATAGCAATCTAGAATCATATGAACTCTTAAAAAAAATAAATGAATAAATTTTGAGACCGAAATCAACCCATCTCTGGACTACTCAATCATCTCTAAATTATACATAAGTTAAGATACATTCCAACCTCCGTTATACATCAAAATGTATAAAACGCACCCTCTTACGTACTTTCTTTCCTTGCATTATAATTGATCTCTCAACAATTGCTTGATAGTTGACGCTAAACAGTGATACCATCAAAACGCTAGCTCTTTATTCCTTACTAAGATTGCTAGCTTCATCAGTACTTAATAACAAACTGCCTCTAGTCCTTCTTTTATACACAAAGTACAACATGCTACCGTAAAACTCAAGAAGATTTTTCTTAATTGAATGGCAACTTGGAAGTAAGTAAATTTTTTTTTTTGTTATAACGACAACTTTGAAAGTATTTCTTGACAACTTGGTTAAATCAAGAAAACAACGAGCTTCCATCGACTGAATCACCCTATATCTAGGTTGGTAAACCGATTCGGTAAGATTAACCAAACTAGTTATAAGAAAATACTGTTTCATTGAAATACAAAATTGGTATAAATGAATTCCATAAGTTTTGAGCAATTCATTTTGAAATGAAATATTTTTGTGTTTGGTATTGAAAGGAATTTATTTTCAATTCTAAATTTTGAATTCTACGGAATTGGAACTAGTTATAGCAATTCCGAGGAATTAAGATAGAATTTTCAAATGAATTCCACAAGTATTTACTAATTATAATAAAATGACATGATTATCCTCTTGTATTAACTAAATTACTTATACATATGACATACCAAACACCAAAATACATTTGACAATGAATTCTACACGACACTTCAATAATTTGAATATAAAATACCAAACATAGGATTTCATTTGACAATAAATTCTACACGGTAATTCATTTTACAATAAAATGAATTCTCAATTCATTTGGTGCGTCAAACGGTCTGCTAGTGTTAATCTAATCGATAAGGACAACATAAACTATTTTAAAACTAAAACTGACTCAATCCTGTTTACGGTTTTAACCTAACAAGCCAGAACCGCTAATACTTGCCTGGTTGGTTTCTGGCTAACCGAAAGAAGAAGGAAAAAAACCGAATCCAAGTCATGAGTGAGGTTTACCATCCATTTTCGGAAAGTGTGGATCTATATTTGGCTTTCCCTTAACCTGCACATAATTTACATGTCCTTTACAACTCCTTAAGCAACGCCCCAATAAAGCCCATGCATGCATCTTGTTCTGCGAACTCAATCTCTCCACCACCATTCACCTCTATATAAACATATGCATTAAACTGATCCCACCACCATCATCATCCAACTTACCACACACACATCAAATCAAAATACCCAATCCCACAGCTCACAAACCATGGCTACCACCAACACATCGTCTCATCATCTCCTCCTGTTCCTGGCAGCAACCTCCTCCATCATACTACTAATCTCTTCACTCTGCCATCACTCCCACGCCCAGAACGCAGCGCAGGACTACCTAAACGCCCACAACTCTGCTCGGGCACAGGTTTTGTTACGCGTTATTTACGACTTACAACATTGTTGCATCGCGCGTATCAGGATGGTACGATTCATATAATAACGCGATTCTTTTCAAACTCTCGTTTTTTATAATTAGGTTGGTGTGGCCAACATCACTTGGGACGCGACGGTGGCTGCGTACGCACAAAGCTACGCCAACTCCAGGGTATCGGACTGCAACCTGGTCCACTCCGGGGGCGCTTACGGGGAGAACCTGGCCAAAGGAAGCAGCTCCACATTCAGCGGGACCAGCGCCGTGAACCTTTGGGTGGCAGAGAAACCCTACTACGACTACGCTTCCAACGCATGCACGGGAGGGAAGCAGTGTTTGCATTATACTCAGGTGGTTTGGAGGAACTCGGTGAGATTAGGGTGCGCCAGGGTGCAGTGCGCCAACGGCTGGTGGTTCGTCACTTGCAACTACGATCCACCGGGCAACTACGTCGGCCAGCGCCCTTACTAGCTCATCATCCTATATTCATCTCTCGGCAGCAACATTGTTGAAGTATGCTACACTATAATTATATGATTAATCATTGATCTCACCCAACCCTTAAGTCATATTACCTTAATACTAATATATTGTAATACATAAACGATATAACATCATAATGCATGGTATCTTAACTATATATATACTTTCAAACAATATTGTATTTTGATTTTGTTCCCATGGGATATACGGGGATGGTTGTAATGAGTTGCTCCATCAAGGAGGGTTTACAATAAATCGAAAGAAGAATTTATAATTTGAGTATCACCTCATCAACATGCACTTGTTGTTTTATATATCAACAAAGTAGTTTCATGGCAATGCCTCGTGGCGTTGTCTTGTGAGTTGTGAAATCTCTTATTCGATATTCTGTGTGTTGGGAATTATGGTGGTGTTGTTTCTTGCTCTCGGAACACTCTCAATTTCAAACTCTCCATTGTCTTTCTTGATCATGGATAGTCTAGAAAACCCGAAATAGAGAGGGTTTCGAACTCAATCAACCACATACTCATTCTCTTGCTGCCAAATTTTGTTTAACCAATTCGAGGAGTTTTCGGCTACTTCCCTTTCTCCTCTGTCTCCTCCCCCTCCCCCTCTTTCATCTCCTCCCTCTTCTATGCCTTCTTGAAGATAAAATTGATATATTGTTGTTCTTGGTGTTGCTATTTACTCACCTGGTGTGGTGGAAGATTAGTGACTCGCACGTGCATGTTTTGCTGGTTGTTAGATCTCTGCATCATGATTTCTAACAATCCTTTGTTGTGGAATGGCTAACTATCAGATATGTTCAAAATATTTGTGATAGAGTTTGAGAATAAGTGCACTAATATAAAAATTAAAAGATACAGGAGTGATAGAGATTATGAGTATCACTATAATTCTTAAAGAATCCTATAACTTAGATGGTATCATTAATGAAACTACTGCACCTTATTCTCCTAAAATGAATGGTAAGCCGAACGCAAAATATGATATTTACTAAATTGTTATGCTTAATAATGGCGCTGTTTGTCGTTGATGGGATTATATTTTTTTCATTGTTTGTTATGTACGTGCTTGTTTGTGCTCTAAAAATATTTGTAAAGAGTCACTCTACAAGATTTTGAAGAATAGACCACCTAATTTTTTCTATTTTACAACATAGGGCTGTTTAGACTATGTGAGAATCCTTGATCCTAAAAGGATTAAGTTGGCTAGTAGAGCATATGAATGTGACTTTGTTGGTTATGCTACCAATAAAAAGGCATCTATATTCTATGATTTGAATTCTCATACTGATGTGGAATCAAATGATGCCAATTTCGTTAAGACTAGATTTTTCATTTAAAATAAGAAATAGCGAGTGCAATATCTTGCCTGCTGTTAGAGATAACAGAACTAGTGGGGTAACGGATATGAGTTCGAACTCATACGTAGTTGAAGGCTAAATTCTCTAAGAATTTTAGTTAATATTTTACAAGGTTCTAAAAGGCGCTAGGCGTAAGGCAGGCGCTCGGCTCTTGACTTGCGCCTTGCCCGATTAGGCGTAGACTAGGCGCGCCTAGGCGTTTAGAGCATATATGGAAAAATTCTCAAATATTTCCTATTTTCTGGAATAATTCATATAATCCAAGTACATATAAAATTAGCAATGCCTAGTTCTTAACAGTAAACACTTAACATAACAAATAACAAGCAAATAGTGACCAATCATATGCTAATAGGTGTTTATAAAGGCAAGAAGCTTGTGCTACGTACCGAGGAGAAGGAAGGAGCAACAATTGACGAGTTTCGACTTTATTTCCCACTATAGCAGCGGAGCGGTGAGAAGAGTGATCGATGACTTTCTCCGGCGGCGGCAGAGAGCAGCAAATGGGGCGAGAGCTAGGGCGGCAGGCGGTAGCAGATGGGGCGAGAGCTAGTGCGGCAGGCAGCAGCAGGTGTTACTTCCCGTGTTTCTGATTTTCTAGGGCAAGAGGCAAGTTTCTGATTTTCTAGGACAAAACGAAGAGTATTGGGTTTAACCGCCTAAGCTCGCTCAGGAACGCCCAGGCACGCCTTCTCTCCACTAGGCGCAAACTAAGCGATATTCCTACCTACTAAGCGCTACCAGCGCCTTTTACAACGCCTATGGCCAAGTCAAGGCGATCCTCCACCGCCTAGCGCCTAATTGAGCTTAGGCGTGTGCCTAGGCGCGCCTTCTTGAACCATGATATTTTACTAAGTATGCACACTTGAAGATCCTACAAGTCTGCAAGAAATTCTTAACTTCGATAGACGCCGATTTAATTTGTGGGAAGAAACGGTTAATGAAGAAATGGATATTTTGAGTCAAATATGACTTGACATCTTTAGACTTACCTCCTAGTTTAAATCCATGCTAATAAATGGATTCTAAAAAGGTAAATGAAGCATAATGGTTCAGTTGATAAGTACAAAACTCGCCTAATAGTTAAAGGCTTTAGGAAGAGTGAAAATGTAGATTTATTTGATACATATTCACTAGTATTCGGATAACATCCATTCAGATTATGATTGCTCTTTTTTCCCTTGAACAATCTTCTTGTGCATCAATTGGATGTTAAGACTACTTTTTTGAATGATTATTACTTATTAAGATGAAGAAATCTACATGGAACAACTTGGCACAATCAACTGTGGAATCATAAATGATAGTACTAGGCTAGTGAAGAAGTGACTTGGTTGAAAGGATTATTTCCAGAGATTCCCTTATGGAAATAAAAGACCAGTTCTGCCGGTATTGATCCATTGTGATATATAGCACCATAACTATTTTCTAAAGTTGAGAACTGTTACTATAATGGTAAGAGACGACGAATTCGTCATAAGCATAGTACTGTAAGAGAGTTCCTAACTGCAGGAGCAGTGAGGGTGAATCATTTAAGATCATAAGACAATCTACCTAATCCTTTGATGAAATGATTTGTTAGAGAGAAATTCCAAAATACCGCCAAGGGTATGAGACATATGCTCGTAGAATGATGAATTACACATGATGGTAGCCCAACCCATAGACTAGAAATCCCAAGAAATTGGTTTAATGGATAATAAAAAGTGTGTATTATTAGATAGATCATATGAAGCATGAATTCCTAAAGCTTATAGAGGTTAAGGTTATACTATCTCTTAATGAGATTTATGCTCCACGTGGAGTGAATCGCATTGCTTTGGGAGTACTTGAGTAGACTCACCTATGTGAATGTCGCGCATGGCCATAAACGCACAAACTGTTAGAGAATAACACTCAGAAAAGATTCGGTGTGCTATATTGTCAGAGAGAGAATTCAAGACTACGAGTGGCTACTTGTTGAATCTGAAGTGTATGCAACCACTATGTTAAGGTTCAAATCAAAATATACATTAGTTTATGCCTAATCTTATGTTGACTTATGATGCTCAGAGATATTTTCAAAACTATTCAAGTGAGGAATTTTTTGAAATGAGTAGCTTTTGAAAGCTATAGTGAAGTCACTACCACATTGCTGAGTGAAGCCTTGCAAATGGTGAGTAAAGATAGGATTCTATCTCCAAAGAGTGTTGTCCTTGAGGTTACCAACTTTTGTGGAAGATGGAGGAGCTAAATGACATTCAAACCACACACACACACACACACACACACATTTACATAGCAGAAACACGAAAGACTCTGTTCTTCACAGACCTCTAGTTTTTTCACAAACCGAAAGATAGCGTGTGGTTGTTTAATCATGAGGTGACTAGTTGATAGTATGTTGTGCGCAATACGAGGCAATACCACAAACATTTTAAAGAAAGTGACCTAATCCGTGACTCAACCAGATTTTGTAACCTCAATTTTACTTTTTCCCTTTCTAATGGGAATGGCGGAAATTAACGTATTGGTCCGAAAAGAAGAGTATCGGCAAGGAATAATACTATTGTACAATTGAACCCAAACATAGTCAAATGGTCCAATCTAAAGTGTATTGCCTATCCAAGCAAGTAGGAATAGACACTGAGTCTGTGGTTTGTGGGGATGTAGTAACTAGCTTGTTATGAAGTTTTCATCAGATGCCTAGTTAGATCATCCAGTTTTGGCTTGTTTCTCATTCAATATGAAAGACCGCCTCATCGACCACTGTGGGGACGACATTATGTTGTTAGGAAGAAAAAATTATGTCCACCTAATACTAGAAGTTTTTCCAGAGTTATTCTGGAACTTCACTTGTGTCTTTGGTGGATGCGGGGAAGTAAACCCCCAGCTCCTCTGGCGATTGAAAGTAAGCCTTTAGCGAAGAGATATCAGTATAAGATTATCTTCAATTAGCTACATATACACTTTGTTGACTTGGTTGATTTATTTCGTTTGTTCAAGATTACAAACTTTTCTTGGGATTAATTGACAGACTGGTCTTTGCTATGATCAATGCTTCTTGTTGCGTTGATTAGCCCACTGTGTCTCGTTAATTCTCTTATTTTGATGGATAGAATATAAGATCTCCTCCAAGCTAAGAACCATAAAATTTATTTGAACAAACTAGAAACCTTGATGAAGGTACAAGTTCAATTATTCAACCCTCAACTATATAACAAACACTCTCAATAATATGATGGAAATATTTCAATCAAAGCAAAATGCTAAAAAGGAAAACACACAAGAGCAAACTTCAGCTGCAAAGTAAATGATATCAATTGTCACCTGATCACATAGTGACGAAAGCATTTTTCAAACACTCTCGAGGTTTACACAAAGCTTCCAATGGCTCAGCTTTTGGTGTGGTTAGCCCTTGTCCTTCTGACATGTCCAATAACTCTTGGCCAATCCGCTCCCACTCAAAGCATTGAATCAAAACAGCCAAACCCACGCTCACGACCCGGTTTGCAAGTCCAGATCCAGGGCAGGACCTTCTTCCCATACCAAAGGGAAGTAATTTGTAAGGCTCCACCTCCACTCCTTCATGCCTCTCAGGATAAAATGCCATAGGATCTTTCCATATCGTTGGATCTCTATG